ATCTTACAACTTGTCTTCTAGACTGTGTCTGAATGTCCGCTATTTAGCAATAGCTTATAAAGGTTGCTAATTGTACGTTAATGTGTTTGCAAGTTAGCAATTTGTTGAATGAAAGAAGGACCTATGGTAGGCACTGAGCATTCCCTGTTTCTTACAGTAGGGGTGTAATCCCCAACTTTCTGGTGATACAATGCCCCCAATTTGTTTGAAGTATGAATTTGACAGGTTTCCAGTTCTTACATATAGCTCCTTTACACACTGAACTGCTGTAGAAAAAGAAGAAATAGTACTGAAGGGAAACCTTGTGGTTGCTATCATTAAAAACAGGTTGCTACCTGAAAAACAGTTTAATTTCCATGGCAATGGAAAGCTGGCTCCATGCAGAAAGTCTGTGGAGCTTAATGAAGTCAAACTGACTCAAAGCACAAACAATCATCTTACAGAAGATCACTGGCTCCTACATACACCACACTGAGAAAACACATCAAGCAATTACATCAAATCATAGCCGCCTTTCTTTAATATAAGCGTTTGTATTTTGAGAGCAAGATAAACACATGTATGTAGTTGCTCATTTCACATGCATCTGCATTCTTCTGAACATCACAGACATTTTTAAATCCATATTTTTCCCAAACTTTCCCACAGTTTTCTTTCCTTGAAAAATAATCATGTTCATTAAAAACGCTGTTAAGAAGAAGTAAATGTATCCGGTCACAGGTCGCCTAATGTAAAAGCTTTTTCGGGGCGAAAAGGTGAGGGAATAAGTAATAAGCGTATAACCTTTAAATAGACTTCAGAAATGTTATTTGCTCGCTGAGATAAAGAAAATATCTGTACTGGAACACATTCATGCACACATTCATGAACCAACACACACCCATAGAAAGATTAGTGACTGTACAATCAGCTTTATCATCCATCTTGCTTCCTGTATGTCTGTGACTCAAGAATCCATCCTTCCAAAAAGAGGCCTCTCAGCCTGGAGGCAAAGGAAAGGTGTTGAGATTTCTTTAAAAATTATTACTTCAATCAAGTCATATCCTTAAAGAATGAAATTGAACAAGTCCTAAATGAAAAAAAAAACTGATAATTTGTCAGTGCATTCAAAAAAAGATTTAATTCAAGCTTTCCAAAAATGGAAAAAGACCCTTTTTCTGATATGCTGTCCCTAAGGTTATATTTAAGCAGCTAAATATAGACTGCAGTTACAGAGCCAAAGTCATGACGTCAAGTCTGGGCTAGCCTCTCTTCCACTCAATACAATGTCTCTTTCAGCATTATAAAACTATACAGCTCTTGTGAAAAAACTACAAGCGTGACAGCGCAGGTACTTATGTCATCTCAACTTCCATAAAACTCACCTCTCTAAGTCAATTTTTCCACTTCCTACCTATGGTCTCTGCAGTGTTAGAACCTCTACACCATTCCCTCCTCTCTGTCCTGCTGTTATTACAGTCATGTCTGAACTAATTGCGACATGTCAGCTCGCTCATGGAGTAGCTTTTTTTGCCAGGGTGTGATGTTTACGCTGGGTCCTGTCAGGTCTTTGCCTGCGAACATATAGGGCTAATGGGAAATGGTGTTTCCAAAAGAACACTAAAAATATAAATATTGAATAAACAATGACATTAAATTGTTTTTTTTTAAAAAAACGACCTTCCTTATCTAAACATATGAAGTGAGCCACACAACATGCTGTTGAGAAAAGCTCTGTTCCAAGGCTGGATCTTTAGTTCTTAGTGTTGTTACAAATGTAAATGGGATTTTTAATGAGGTTTTCTTACCTCTGGAACAGAAGGTTTTCACTTTGGCTCCCCATTGACAGTTTGCTAAACATCTCCCCTAAACAACAAATCATTACTTAGCAAACGTAACGAGGCACATTTCTCACTACAGTGTTTTGTGGGGTTCCAAGTTAAGTTAAAAAAGCACTGTTCACAACACTGCATGGTATTCCCACACTGTCTGGAAGCCACTCCTGGATGCTACTATAGCAGAGTGTAGGCTGATGTTAGCGGCTGTGTCCTGCTTTTAGTTAGATTGGGATGAGTTTACGCTCTAACGCCAAACACATGGTCCTCAGCTCTTAAAGCCTTTTTTCTTTTGTCAAAATGAAAGATACAGTTTGCAAATACAAACAGTTAAGCATAATTCTAACCTCAGTATTGCTTGTCCAATCTTAGTAAGATGAGCAGCCAAACAGGGTTACGTTACAAAATACCAGTCTGAGATTATATTTTTCCATATACTAATAATACTATTGCTGTGTTGAACTAGCTAGCTCTACAATAATAAAGCTTTCCGTATTTCCATGTCTTATACATAGAACTACTAGTGATGAGTGTCTGCCAGGGACATGTGTTAGCTTAATGACCTAGCTAGATAACATAAATCTGCCCGTGTTATCACTGTAAACTCCACGTGTACCATATAAAAATGTAATGAAAGCTTGACAGGCATAGCAAGAGTAAGTAAAGAGGCGGGGCTTAGTAAATAGTCAGTTGTGGTTAAGGTACGGTGGAGGTTTGGCGACTTGGTGACGGTTATGGGAAGATCACTGTTATAGTTAAAGGAAACCCACTTTAACTGGGTCTGTCAAAAACTCACCACCCTGTCCAAAATACCTTTACTTTGCTATGAGAACATCACATTACGTCCTGCTTTGGCACTGAATGTTCTAAGTTGTTTTAAGCTCTTTGAACAAATGACCGACGCTGTCATTTGTCTGGACAGGACAGTCTCATGAAATGGCATAATGTACTTTAATAAGAGGATCAAAAAGTGACCCAAGCATTCAATGTATTATTGCCATTTTCAGAGATGTACTATCACAGTGAGTTTAGAAAATGGGAGAACAATGAACTGAACCGTGAGAGTACATAATGAAAGTTCCAATCCTCTTTTGTGCCAGGGTGTATTCATGCATATCTGTGTGTGGTGAGCATGATGCACCAGCAGCAGAACCATTAAAAAAACACAATAAATAGGATGAATCACTTACTAAGACAACTAAGGAGACAACAACGCGTCCATTTTTCCACTCACAGCTTCTGCATTACGTCCCAGGCTGCCAGGAGCACACCACTGACCATTTTAATGATGTTAGCCGAAGCTATTAACGATGCCGTCATTGAGCAATGGCTGGATTTTAAGAAAATGGTGGCGATAGTAGCAGGAGGGAGGATGTGGGGTCATCATCTAGTATCTGCCATGAATCTGTGTGCTATGCTGTGCCCTCTAGCCGACCTGCACAGCAACACCAGAGGAGAGCGATGAGGGAGCTTATTTAGGTGTAGACACGAAGGGAAGCAAAGACAGGCGGGTTAAAGGAAAGGAGAAGAGAGCTACAATAGAAGAAGTGACTATGTCAAGGGCTGTGGAGGAAAACATGAAGATGGCAGCGGCCCACTCTTAATGAGTCATAAATCAGCTTGATATGAATCATCTTTACAGCGCTATTAGAGCAAAGTGTTTCGAACCTCATTAATTTCCATTAGGGAGAAGCTATCTGGTAAGTTTACTATAGCATCAAATTTTCTACAAGCCACTATCTCTATGATCTTGCAATAACTTTCACAGATCCCTTAGCCCCTATGTGCCTAAACACCATTACTCTCAAATTCGGGGTCAATCCCTTTTATTCCCAGCAGGGACTTGAACACTCCCCTCTTCTTGATCCTACAGTCAGATGTTTGAGCTTCACTGTGCAGAATGATGTATGTTGAGAGTTTGATACTAGAATGATGTTTTCCCATTCAAATTGTTTTTCTGTGCATATGTATACATCTCCTAATTCATGTCTAGAGGGGATCTTTGAACCAAATGACAGCTTAAGAGTCCATAAAAACGCTTTCAACTTTAACAAAAGTTGCAGAGGTAACTTCTCTGTATACCTACTGGAGATAAAGAATTTAAGAAGTGGCTGTTAGATATTTCATTCATAATGATTCAGCTGTTGGCCTGCAACTGCTTTGAAAGCAACTTTGCAAAGCAGCACTTTCTGTAGCTGCCTCTCTCAGCTGTTTCACTATTTGCCTCTGTCACCTCTTTTGAAGACATTGTCATTGTAAACAAAATGCAACATCCAGTACGAAGCATCCTTTGCAAAGCTACATTAAGTTGAACTAACTATAGCCATAACATATAAAAGGTAGCATTAAGCAACTGTGCCCTCCATAATATGTAAAGCAATGTGATGAAATCAATATAAAATATATTATGGGAATACATTGTTAAAAAGACACATAGAACTGATAAAAATTTCCCCAAATGATAGCTGCAACAAAACGGCATTTGATGCTTTTTTCGCTGATTAATTGAACAAGGTGAAGCAATTGAGAACAAAACATTATATAATATAAGCTTAGTTTGCAGGACAGCATGCAAACTACCCATAACTGAGTAAATCACCTGCAAAATAATTTCAAAGAATGTATGTTGAGTTCATTCAAGTAGCAGGAAAGACAGAAAAGAATAAAGAATAAAGAAAGAAAGAAAGAAAGAAGACGGATGTGCGGAGCTCCTCCTCTGCTCATTCACTGACAGAAATGAATGTTGACTGAAGACGATGACTTCATCAGTCATTCAATGGGAGCTTGGCAGGCTTTCCACAATCATTATTATAAAAAAATCTGCAGGGGCAACAACGATAGAACTAGTAGCAATTATAATAATCATTATTATTTATTTGTTTGGTCCAGAAGTGCACTTCAACCAATGAGGGCAAACAAGCTGCAATTGGAGCCTCTACAGCCACTACACTCTGCATGTCTCTAATCTGCGCTCACATGCAGTGAGGGAGAAAATCGACTATGCTATAATGAAGATATAAGTCCTCTGTCTGCTTTACTCTATCCATTCAATCATTCATTCAAGTGAAGAGTACCAATTAAGTGCACTATTTTAATACAGGACACAGTATTAGAGCACTGATGTGCTCCTGTAGGTGTGAAATCTACATTGCTTCTGAATGCCCACAGTAGCTCCGATTTCCTTACCAGAGAGGTGAAGATGTAAGTGTAGTAGACTGACAGCATTCCCAGCTCTGATGCCTGCACAGCAAAAGACAAGAGGGGCAAGAGGGGAAAGAAGAAGAAAAACGTAAGAGAAGGAAGAACAAAACAGGAAGCAGAGAGAGAGTCAAGAATAAAGGGTTGGGGAGAGAAGTTGAGAGGTCAGTGATTCAGTGTAACTGACGCTCCGCTCTGTAGCAGACAGATCAAATCCACATCTTGATAAGGCGAGACACATTCTTATCTGACGATGGCTCTCAATGGAGCAATTAATTTTGGAGGTGCATTAGTATGCTGCTCCACACTGTCTTACAATTTGATTAAATCAAAGTCACAGTGAGGAGCTGTTGTGAAGGGCAGGGTGAACTTTTCATAGTTTCATTTCCATTTAAGTCATTAGCAAAAAAGAAAATCATCGAACTATAGGCTTCTGTTTAATCATGCTGCGATAAACATAATGATTAAAATCAATAAATATCAAGTAGACACATATATAGTTAGAACACTGTAACAGTCTGAAAGAACATCCTCTTTTTTTCAAGAACTTTCTTGTTTTTTTAAATCATTCATCACTCATTTATAAATTTATGAATTCTTCTCTGAGCATGAGTTAACCCTCTCATGCACCTTCTGATATGCTACTCAGAGAGTATTTTTTTCCACACCTGAATGTACCAAAATTTCCATATTTCCATAATAAATGGCTTCCACACTAACGTCTAAGGTTCTGTATCATCAGAAGGAGTTTAATAACAGACATTTAGCTGTCACGTCTGCACAATATGTTACATCTGTGTGGGTGTTTGTGTGCCATTAGGCGTGTGTGTCACTCAGTTGTTGAATATTCAGCTTAAGTGTTCTGCAGCAGCATAAATAATAAAAGAGTAGAAAGTAATTATTATAGCAAAAACATCCAAATACAACTTCCATTATTAAACTCTGATTGACCTCTCAAGATGTATTTATAAAGCTTCCTCATTTGAGTATATTGAGCACGCAATTACTCTATTATATATATTAACTACTTTAAGCATGATGACTATATAAAGTCATTATTATGCTTCAGGGAAGCTGTATAGCACCTGCCCGGGAGTTACACACAGCAGGTAAAGCTAGCTGATGGCACAAGGTGGTTGAGATTTATCGCCTTTAAAAGTACCTCCATGTGACAAGCAATATTTCAAAACATTGCAACTTTTCCTTGGGCGACCTATGCCTTTAATACCTTACCTAACACAAGCTGACATTATAACCTAAATCGCCTTTTGGTTGCTGCCCACATCCCATTCAGAAGACACAATACAACCAAAACAAGCAGCTGATGAAAAATATCCTTTTGGTCTCTTTTCGCTGCATTGGAAATAGCTTCCTTGCCTTTTTTTTCCTCACACTTTTTGATCTCCTTGTTGTTCTACTGCAGCATTTGGTCAGAGTGCACACGTTTTTACTGCCACCATATACTGGGCTCACTATCTATCCCACTCTGGTTCTGTACAGCTGCTCACAACAGTGGAGGCCTGACTGAACAAGATTACATTCAGAACGCTAACACAGCTGACCTAAACCCCTCTGAATGCTAAAACCTCTGAGAGAGAGCCCTTTGTCTGACGAGGGTTTGATGTAAGATGTAAACAGACAAATAAGGGGGGAGCGTCTTGCATGACAAAGGACGATTCTCTCCTTTTGGACAAGCTGGGCACTCTTATCATCGTCTGAGACTGGCAAATATGCCGCCGCACAGCTTTGATATGTTTGGCAACTAGGCACTCCACATGAGAGGCGGGACTGCCAACTTTCCACCACCCGGCTGCAGGATTGTCTCTTGACAGACAGAGAGACAGACAGTGTGACACATAAAGGAGACAAAAGAGTGAGAGATAGAGGGATGGGTATACAAGACCACAGGGGAAGGGAGGTGTGAAGTAACAAAGTGAAAGTGTCTCCACATTTTGGCGTTGAACAAAGAGCGAGAAACTCCACACTGAAACTGAAGAGACAGACGGAGGGACACCGGGAACAGACAAAGAGAGAAAGAGACACATCCCACTGCGGGCTCCCGCTGCTCTGTGGCCCAGGGTTGCCAGGGTTGCCATGGTGACTGGATGACCACTGATGGCAGCAACACTTGATTGAGGTGAAAGATTGAGACTGAAGACTACTGTGTGACAGTAAGAGACTTTAATGGAGAGAATGGGGGAGGAAGAGGAGGTGGAAAGCAAGAGAAGCATCCCTCCTTGTCCTTCTCTTTCCCTCCCAACCCCCCTTCTGTCTCCAGTTGGTGTCACCTCCACTCTAGCCATCCATCCATCGTCTTCTAGAAATAATGAGGTGCGTATTAATTACTAAGAGGCCATATGCTGCTGCCAAACACCATCGCCTTCTCGGCTCACACAATCACCTTTATTGATGCCATCAAGGCTCTTAACAAACATGAGTCTCCAATCAGTTGAAGCTTCGACATTATGTTGGAGTCAAAGTGTCCCTGGTCTTAATAATGTTCTGAGACGTTAATTATTGGTATGTGCTGTTAATAGGGAAAACACATATAGGTCATAGTGTCATGCTATTGACAGAAATAGTGCTCAATAATGTTGTCAGAAACTTGTTTTTCTCACACCCTTTTGATAGTTATATTTGTATATACAATTGTTTTTCAGAGAGGAAACCAACAGATGAATAATTGATAAGAAGGTCATTAATGAATCAGTCCACTTAATTTGCTTCACTGACTAAGAGAACAGCTTGTTTTAATCCATAACATGCACTGTATCAGAAAGTAGACAAAAGGGATCCTTTATTTTATTTAGTCTGTTCTTACTCACACTAATCCACTTAACTGTGCAGAATTCTCACTTATGGAAGATGAATCATTGGAATACAACTTGATTTAATGCTTTCATCCATATAATTTGATGTAACAGGTTTGTTAAATAAGATTGCCTCAATTCATTTGCCTTTTATTTTGGGACTATGTTTTTGAGTCTAGGCTCTGTAACCCTGTCTTTTAACAGCTGTGCCCAGTGCCAAAAGTGCATAAATTCTCGTAATTCGTCTTGCGATTCAAGACGGCAATCGCATTACGGCGGTATGAAAGATATTTCCCTTTTTATATGTTGTGCACAACATATGTTGAGCCGTGTGGGGAATGCAACTTCTATCTCTACAGGTCAAAAGTGGAAACTTACTAACTACTTCTTCTTCCCCACATATACAACTACTAAACCACTTTTAGTCTTGAACACTTCTTGCCATCAGCATTTTAAGTTACTTCTCCCTTTTGAAATGTATGAGAATTATATAAATGTGGATCTTGGGAAGTTTTTTCTCAGCGTAAAGCTAAGACAGTGGACGTGGAATAAAGACAAGTTATCAGTGTATAAGTAACACAGCTATGTGAACCATACTAACCCGTTCCAAAATGATATGTGACATGGTGGCGTTGGCATCCACTATAATAGTGGCAGTCTTGTCATCTCGTATCTCTTTCAAGAGCGGGGTCGGGTCCTGGCTGTCATCAAGCATGCGCACTGACAGAGTCTCCTTGGAGATGAGGAACTGCCGGAGGAGCTGCTCCAGGTTCAATAAGCCTGCCGGTAAGACACACACACACAAAAAATATAAGAGGGTTACTTGTAATGAAGGGAAGACTCTCCCAAAGAGATTGAGCTTTACAGTTAAAGAAATATATAGCCAAAAAGTTAAGGATTGTCGAGCAATTCAGAGAGTGATGGTTACTATTGTGATGCAGTATGAACTTAATAAACTTAGGCAATGCTCAAGAACAAAAAAATGGGCCTCTTGTTTGTTTTTATGCCACAGCAATGAATCCATAAAAAAAAAACGTTTCCATGCAGAACAAGTGAACTGATTACCTTTAATTACAATTATTGTAAAGCCATCAAACACAAAGGGACGTTTCAGCATCTTCTCTTGTACTTCATCCCACAGTAATAGACCATTTGTCTCCAGTGAGGTAAGTGGGATTTGCCCTAATTAAAGCATAGCCGACTTAATCAAAACGCTCCGGGCAGCATTTTACCAGTCACTTTGCATCCATATACTAGCAGACCCAGAGAGATTATTGGGCTAATTTTCCATATAGGAGTTTAAACTAATTTGTGAAGTGTGTTACAGTGAGGATAAAAACAACCTGAATGAATCTGAGAGTAATACACCACAGAATATTGGCATCACCTTGGCCATTTGGCAGATCTCATCACACTCACAACATTTCTTGATAATGGCAAGGAGAGTCAGAAGGGCGTAACTTTGTGCACAAGGACTTGTATTAAGTGAGCCTCCACCTGCTTTTTCCATTATAAGGTAATAATAAAACAGCACCCTAGACTCTGGCATCAACAGATATTTTATGTGATTTTTGCCATGGCGACAGCAGAGTAGTTCATCTGTCACACAGAGAGCAATTTTGGTGTGGCAATTTAAAGTTATCAAACTGACTCCTTTACCTTCTCCACAGCACATTAACGTAAGCTACAGCACTGTCCAAGTCACCAGCATCATGTCTAATAGCTTCTGCAATTATGTCTCAGTGTCTGCCTGTCTGTATGGCAGTATATCACAGTGTGTGTTTGTCTTCCTGTACCTGGCTACCTGTGTATGTGCACTCATGAGACATCACTCGTGGCTGCCGCCTGCTCCACTGCCTGTGTCTCGATCCTGTCGGATCAGCTTCCTCTGTAGTATAACGCAGAATAAATTTGATGAGCTTGAAATAGCTTCTGCTAAACCACCCTCCTTGTCTGCCTCCTGCATCCAGTCTGTATAGCTTCACGCAAGGCATCAAATGCAATTTCACGTCAAGTTCATGACATTAGATGATAAACTGTACTAGATGTGGGTGGCTAAAGAGCATACACACATTCACGCACAAATAGAGTGACACGCAGAAGAAAAGCTCATATTCTCTTTAGTGTTCAGGCTGCACGGGATTCAAAGGGGAGTCAGAATGTTTTTTTTTCCACTAGGGTGCTTTACAGCAGCCATGTTATTCTCTCACTGTTTGCTCTGAACCAGTTTCAATCAAATGAAAAACATACAGCTGAATGAAAAATTTTCTCTTCTTTAGTCAGAATTGTATTGGTCCTGCTGTATTGAGAGAAAACAAGGTCTGTGAGATTGTGTGTGCGTGTGTTTGTTGTCCTGTAAAGTCTCTTTCCCAGAGAATTTGAAGAAGCCTGTGTGTCTGTGTGTGTGTGTGTGTGTGTGTGTGTGTGTGTGTGTGTGTGTGCTTGTACCACTGTCTTTATTGGGAAGTTTTAGACCCTGATTGCAACATTCTTGAAAAGTCAGGATATTTTGGCTAGTCCTCACTTTTTCACACAACTGTACAATAGTTTATGGTTATATACAGTATATGAGATTTTAAACATTAATATAGCAGCAAACAACTATTTGCTTTGTAAAGATACAGTGGAGTAATGGTGCACTGAGCAGAGAATGAAGTCACAATCCCTCTCCGTGTGTGTTGTAATCTTCTCTGTTCTTTGCTTTGGTAGCTGGTCCGGCTGCACTCGCTTGTGAGTCCAGCTGTTTGCTAGCAGTGTCCCAAACATTTAACTGAAACCATCAAAAGTATATTTTACTTGATGTTTTAGGTAGTTTGCATTAGCAGGATAGCTAGCAGAATGATAATTACATTGCATGGATTTTGTTCAGCAGATCAAAGTCTAGTGCTACATCTGGTTTAGCCCCTTTAACAGTACCTCACAGTAAACAAGCTTCTCCTCTATAGCTGTATCAGAGCTGTGGTAAGTTACTGCAAATCCAAAGGTTTTGTTCCATTGGTGAACCACAGGATGTATCTCAAAGCTGTGTAGTTTTTCTGTTAACAAACCAAAGTTATTTTTACATTCAGTGTGACTCACCAAAACACAGTGTGTGTATCCTTGAGGTCTAAATACCTTCCCCATAAATCCTTTGCAGTATTTACATCCTACATTATTTACTTCAATGTTATCTTGCAGTATTTTCCTTCTCTGCCTGTGCTGCACATTACTGCTACCTAAAGATCAGTGAAAAAGTGTGAAATCATTGGCATCACTTCCATGTGTTTCCCCTTGTGTGTGCACTAGACAAAAAAGAACAGGGCCAAATTCATAAAAAAAAAAACCCTGCTCCATAGCGCTAGTAAACTCCACAGGTAACCTTTAACATACCCTGTTGTTTTTCCTGACCTGCAGTGATGTACTCCAGTGCTCTGTCATCATCACTGTTGGGGCTGGTTACAAGCACAGCAAAACACACTTCTGGCCACACCCAACCACACCCCTAAGGCCAAATGTGAAGTTATTCTGTATGATGATAAAAGAATGATTAGAACTTTGAGATAAGTGTTAAGAGTTAATAATAAGAGTTATGTTTGAGAATGTAGTTGTGACGATTAAACTTAGTGTTTGAATCTAGGGAATACATTACATCAAAGAGGGCCCTCACAAGTATAGCACAAACTTGCTTGTGAGACTATACTCCCTCATTGGCATGGACGACACATGGCTCCGACTCTCTCTCAGGCACACAGATAAAGGTGAGGGCTGACATTCAAGCCAGGCAACCACTCATTTACCTTTCACATACTGTCACCACAGGGTGCCCACAGGATTACGCACAAACACGCACACACGCACGCACGCACACACACACACACACGCACGCACACACACACACACACACACACACACTCACACACACCCAGACACACAAAGTAACCTAACTCAAATATTGCCAGCACACAGAGACAACCGCTGTGTAAAAACATTAACCTGTTAATATAAAACAGTACCTGAATATGAATTGCTTGACAGGTGTAGGTGAATAATATATAATGAAACCTTCGGTCACTGACAAAGCTTTTAACACAGACGCAAAAGCCCAGATGACAGCTGTACATTATGATGACTCATCATTTAGCCTTAAGCAAGTAAGGCCTAGTTTTATGACTTTGCTACCATTGGGGCCATCACTTTAAAATGCTGTAGACAAGATCATGTGTCAAAGTGTTCAATGTATGTCCAAGCATATTATCCTTGCCATTAACCCAAATAACCATAAAAGTAGAACCATCAATACTGACTATAATCTACCTGTCACACATAGGTGGTGCCGATCTGATCTGCTCCTGCTGATCATACCAGGTCTCTCTGCAAACAGTATTTGCATTCATTCTTTATACAGCCCACTGGAACTGCAAATGACTTATCCTGCAGCAAGCTTCATTTGTGGGTTTCTCAGCTTGAGTGTGATATTACTGCATGAGGAGTGGAAGTGCTAAATTGCAAAAAAAGGGACCGAGATGGATGCCTAGAGAAAATGGCAAAAAGGCAAAGATAGTAGAGTTCAAGTGAACCTCTTCTGTTGTAAAAATGCCCTCTATAGAGTGATTCACAAGGGATACTTCTATTTCAAAGGTCTTGCTTTTTTTATGTTTGTCTCTAAAGTATAGGTAACAGCGAAATCAACTATGAGAGAAGAAAGGAAGGTATAAAATGCACCAAATCTCCCCATGGATTCAAACTCAGAATGTCACAGTCAAAGACCACATGGCCATCACCATTTTTATGGTTACATAAATCCCATTTGACTTTTAAAGTAAAGGCTTGCACCTACACGCACAAACTCCAGCCACTCTCCACAAATCCAAAATCTTATTAAAAGTGAGTCAACTAATTTCTTACAAAAAGCAGTAAGACAGTTTGAAGACATGCCTTTTCAATAAGAAGCTTTTAAAACTAAAAAGTGCTGCCACTACTAGCAGCACCACCATCACATTGACTACTTACTTCTGCCTTCCACATGAGGATTATTAGTAGCCAGAGAATAATTACTATTATCAAACTCATAAAGACCATCCCCTGCAATTACTATGTTCCCGTCATTCTTACACCTATGTATACATTCCTGCTCACAAGTCATTGATGCGTCTCTTCCACCTGACTAACACTAATTACAGGTTAGTGATGGCATTGCCACATAGAGTGTGAAACATGGAGAGACAGTAGGTCAGTCCTAAACTCTGTGATTAATGGAGAATTGTAATTTATGAGATGACATGGACAAGTTATCATAACTAGGCAAAAGTGCAATTACATAGCTTAAGGCATTCTGTCTAAAGATTCTGTCTTAGCATATTATAGTGAAAACCTGATACAGCAAGTAGTGGAAGTGTTGTTTCCCACTGTAACTGCAGTGGAACAATGCAGTGAGCTAAAATGGCAAACCCTACTCTCCAACTGTGCCTATCAAAGGTGGAAAAAATGCTCTGAAAGCATTTGAGGCCTACTGTTTTGTTGAGATCCTGTACCTGCACTGCAGCTTCAGTAAGATTTCAGAGCTTATTGGATGTTCTCTTTCAGCTTACTGACAGCTGCACCAATCACCTCACTAATGAAAGTGCACTGCTGTAGCACAGTGCCAGGGAGTATGGGAACAGCATGCATGTGAATCTGTGTTTTGCACAGTGTACGTGTGTGCTTGCAGGCAAATATTTGTGCATGCATTTTTAGCTGTTCTCTTTTGGGCCATGGCTGCACAACATGTGGGGCCACCCAGCAGGTCTAAAGATTCAACCACGTGGACAGTATTCTGGGCAAATGTTACAGTACTGCGGATGCTGCTGCACACACTGCCATCGATACAGGAGGTTAGCTAGATTAATGTCCGTCCTGGTGTGCACCATGCCTTTGGGCACAGCTCCACCTCCACTCCTGCCTCCTCAGCCATGGCTGGAAAATATTCATGAATTGGCCACGCTCTATTAGGCTGTCACTGGCTTGGGTGATTAATGATTCCGGCACATGTGGACGAGCCACCGACAGCAGGCTGCCAACCGACCAACTGACTGCGTGAGCTGACGGGGGAGGGGTGGGGCTGGGCGAGCTGGAGCCAAAGTCGAATGGGTTTCAGCTGATGCTATTGCTGAACACAGACCTTTAGACACACATACACAAATACAAACTCACACAAATCCAGGCATGCTGCCATTTGCTGCATTTTCTATTGAATGAATGAGGGTCACATGGGAGGGTGCAATCAATATAGCCACGTCATTTCCTGGACTGTCTCCCTCTTGTAGCAAATGTATAATTCCAGTGGGGTTACCTCCTCCCCTTCCCTCACCCCAATCACTACATTTCACCTCTCCCACCTCTGCCAAATAGCATCCTCTCCTCTCCTCTCCTATCCTCTCCTCTCCCCTCCTCTCTTCTCCTCTCCTCCTTCATTTCAGACTCCCCTTGGTATCTTCTATCTACCTCTCTCCTCATTTCATTTCTTTTCATTTCATTTCATTTCCTTTCCAGTCCTCTCTTAGCCCACTGACACAGAATAAGAACCTCCCCACCGACCTGCACACCCACACACAACCAGAGGGAAGAGGAAAAGTAATGTTAAAAATGAGTTTCTTTTCTCCAAACTCGCCAATATTAAAGTCAGAGGCCGCCTAAAAGGTTCACTTGTTATCACTGTTCTCGCCAGAACTGTATTAATCAACTCTCTGTGGAATAAATGTCACAGAAACAGAATCTGAGCCCTGAACTGGAAGAAAGGCTAACAGGTGTAGGAACACCTAGAAGGAAAAACAACTAGTGATATATTTCTGACCCTTGTGGTTATAACGGGTTACGTAGTGGAGTAGGGTTAAACTACAATTAGATACACAGCATGTTCCTTTCGCAGGTTGAATTCATTCTTAATAATAAATAATTTCAGCAAAATGTTCCAATTTCTGCATAATGAAATGCCATCACCTCCCTGGCTAATTGTATAGACGAGGGGCGAAAAAACTCACATTTGCATTAATTTACTGAATTTGCACACACAAGTTTTGGTTTCATAAATAAATCATGGCACTTTAGGGGACAAATCTCATCTTAAAGGTTATGAATGAAAGGAGACTCCCAAAGCAAAGTCCAAGAGGCAGTCAAAGAGAAAGTTGAAAGGCAGAAGAACTGAGAATTGAGATAGGCCGGGTAGGCGGTTCACAGTGGCTCATTGCCATCTCTGGGCTGCCTGACACATGGTTGATGTCTCAAGCCTATTTCCTTTCTTCAAAGCCTTGCGCTGATTAGGAAAAAGGTTAGCGGGTGCCATTCGGGGTCATGGTGCCTTTGTCTAGGGAGTTGTAATTACTGCTTGCTGGACTACAAGAGGGTGGGAACAGGCCATGATTTAATCTTCCTCTCTATTTACGAAAATAACTTCCCTTGAGGAGATTTTCAAGCTTTTTTAAGGTCATTCAGTTTAGTATCTTTAGAATCTAACGAGTGCCTTTGACAAGGAGGCAGTCAGATCACTGGTGGATACAGCTGCAAACTCCATCCTCATTCTCTTTTGTCTGTTTTAATGTGTTTTGATCATCAGCAGGCAGTGTTTTAAGGGTGTATGGATGTCTTGCAAACATCACACTGAGATTGAAGGTTGAAGACAGATTATAGATGACACTGTAACATGCTCTATCATTATTTTAATTTAAGGATAATGACAACTTTGAAAAAGAGAAAGGATTCCGCAATAAATGTGATTTATTTTGGGATGCCGACGTCGGGCATGCTACTGTGAAGGAGTTGCAGCAGCTGCTTCAGAAGGGAGCGTGTCACAGGGTGAGATGTTGATAAGCACTGCATCTGTTGTCAGAACACAGTCGGCGCGTGTGCAAGAAGCTTATGTGTGCTAACACATGTTAAAGCATACCAGACATTAAACAAAAATGTTTGCACTTTGTTGGCAGATGTAGGGAAGGCGTGTGAGCATTCTCCCTGGGTGTGTATCATTGTGTAGTTTGTATTTGTGAGGGTGTGAATGCGTACTCACAGTCAGCCTGTGCACAGATGAGGCAGGCGGTGGTGCTGTTAAAGAAGGTGAGAAGGCCGGCCACAGCCAGGCTGATGTCTGTGTTGGTTGGCCTCAGGTCCAGAGTGGTGAACCGAGGGAACTGAACCTTCAGAATATCCTCTGGGGCCACCTTGACATAGGGCACCTGCACAGAGATGCTGATGTCAGGCACATATCTGTTGCATTTTAATCATCCACAGTTGATTTTGACAGTTTGCATTAATGGTCATGTTTAAAAATGCAGCAGACGTCTGCAGACAGGACACCCGTAAAAGAGATAAAAAGGAGAGAAAATGTGTGTGTGAACTGCAGAATAAAAATAGTATGATGCCAGCAGACAGCCAGAAGAAAAAATAGCTCTGTAGAAATTGGTTTAATCTGTTATGATAAATTGCAAGCAATGATAACCCAGGGGTCTGTGGTAATGTGCATATTCAGAATACACATATTTTTCAGTGACTTAGGCGCTGAAGCTCATGTATAGTACAATTACGGTTCTAAAAACTTATTTTTGTTCCACCTACATGAACAAGCCCTTGTTAGAGAAATCTTCAGTGTAACGCCCCCTCACCCACTGTTACAAAACATTTGTTTACCTCAACTCACTGTGGAGCGGCTCAGCTGTGTTTCAGGTGACACTTTTATAATGCTCATGCACAAAATGTCACAGCATGTTTGACCAAACAAACTGAGCATTGTGATGATCTTGGGGGCGAGTATTGGTGCTTTATTTATTTATTCATAACAAATGTAAAAAAAAAACAGTAAATGTACTGTTCATTCCACTCAGCTAGATAAGTCAAACCTGCAGTGCACTCAAACACTTTTAAAGCTGTAAGTCAGCATCTTAACCTCATAGTCACTGTGGCTGCTGGACTAGTCAAAAACAATAGGAAATGTTTCACAGTTCAAAATCATACATTATGTGCTTAATAATGAACAACACACTTAAAATTAGACTAAATTAATATATTAACTACTAAACTGGGTAAAATAATACATTAAAAAGCAAGAACATCTGTAATAAGGTGCATGTGTTTTGAGTCAGAGCAAAGATCACACACAAGGAGTAAGTAAAAGAAAGCCAGCCAATGCTTCAGTAAGAATCAATAAATACACAATTCTTCTATCCCAGCCCCATTGTGAGGCATACAATTCTCAGTGAGATTGATTGCCATGTTTTCACAGTGTTGATTTCTTGTAGCTTTATATGGAGCTGTATTCCTTAGCCGCCCCTAATGAATTTATCATACCACCCCTACTGTGCTAATAGGTATGTCTAACACAGGCTCATCTCCGCTGTCAGAAGGGAGGTTAAGTACACTGCAGCTAACCTTGCAGCCTCCGAAGTTACCTGAGCACAGCAACAAATCCAAACTGAGGCTACCTACAAATCTGCTGAACTTTAGGAAAATCTCTGCTTCAGTTCTCCACGTGATGATGTGAACGGATACATGCTGCCAGGGCTTACAGCGGGCGAGAGCGAGAGTGCGAAAGAGTGTGGCAGGTGTCGGGTCGGTCAGCAGGCCAGGCATTGCAGTAGAGCGCAGTGGGGCTTGAAGGGGATGCGGGAGGACATGCTGGGTCCGAGAGGAGGAACAGGGAAGGGAGCCTCTTCATCATGGCAGATTGCCTGTCTGTGTGGTTCTCAGCACCCATACATTGCTTCCCCCCTTCGCCCCCATATCCCCTCGATTGGTTTTCCATCCCTGCCCATCAGGGTGTAATGGAGTCCCTGGGCATCTGGATGGATGGAGGTGCGGCCATTACTGACAGCCCCTGCTGGAACGCCATTCATTCCTCTCCTTCAGTCCTAAAACCAGGGTAATAGCCATACACCACGCAGGGGAAATGTGCCCCTCTTTAGGTGTGTCCTTCATCTTCCCTGTTGCATTTGTAAAATTTTTCACAACCTTTTTCTCATTTCTGTCCCTTTCCCTCCCGTTCCTCCGTGAACCCATAGATTGTTTACTCCTTTTTGCCTGCCCCCTTTTCCCATGCGCTCTCTCCTTCCTTTTCAGCACTGCGGACTGGTGCTACCCGACCCCTTTCACTTAGAAACCTGACACGCTTCGATAGGCTGCATCAGAAGCAGCAGGGGGCTTAGAAAGCAGAAACACATGCACACAGTTACATACACTTTTGTCCTTTTCTATCTTACTGGCCCATTGGGTCCTACTTCTAGAAATGCTGGCATCTCTGGGGAATTACTTGGCTCTGAGTCTTGATTCATCATCAAATTCCACAGCATGCTGCCTCGATTCCCACAGCAAATATCTAACTAGATATCCTGATTATTTCCACAAAAAAATTTATTCTGGAAACATTCATTAACATTTTTTGTAGCAATGTTCTAGCAAAAAATCACTTCACAATCTGCAATATTTCTCATTGTATTTTAAATATATCTTTTTTGCATTTAGCTGTCACAATGGAGCTACAGGCTAAATGTAGCTTACAGAAAAGCCAGCAAGAGAGGACCTTATCTATACATCCTGCCTCAACACATTTCCCCCTGGTTAAAGCAATATGATTAATTGGTTGTGGCAGTCACTATCCTCCTCATGTGGTGGAGTGACAAAGTGTTTTGAATCAAGACTTGAGTTAAAACAGGGGTACTCCAAGCAAAGAAAATCAATCTCCACATTACTAACAGCAAGTTGTCAGCCACATCAAAGTCGCTTGCCAGACTTCTTATCTGCAACCAACAGCTAGTATCAGTCACTCTGCTGGTCGATTAATCCCGAAAATAAAAACAGAAAAATCTTTTCCTACATGTGTCTTTGCAGGGCATAGCTTCAAAGACTTTAACAGCTGCATCACGTTCTGTGTAGCTCTGCAGGAAACTCGCAAGTTTGCCATGCCAACCATCCAGGGTACTAATCTACTTGGAGTCAATTTTATGCCAAACTGGCACATCTTGTCACAAATTATGATTTGATGATTTACTGTAATTCCAGTCTTTGTTTGGGTTTGTGGCAATTGTTATAGCTGTTAATCAATAATTTTGAATAAGTTAAAATGGGTTGCTTGTAGTGACAAACCTGCCAAGAATTATCAATTTGGCAGGTCTCCTCAGTGTCTTTCAGCTCATTGCTTAGATTTTTCAGGCCGTAACTTCACTATTTCCTTCAGTCGCACTGCTCTCATTAGTCTCAATTTCCCAGCCCGGCGAGCATCTGTTTTAAGTGAAAAAAGCTCTCCTCCTGCCCAATACAAATTTGCAGACAATGTATGCGAATAGCTGGTGAACGTAACAAATTTAGTAGATAACGAGACCTTATTTCAGGAGTTGTCGACCAAAAACAAGTGAATACTGGACTAACATTCATCAACCCAGAAACATGACTCCAAATGAATGTTCCTCCGTGTCTGCTCGACCTCAAAAGAGGCTGTTTGCTAACATGTTCATCCACAACTTTTTATGATTATAATATGTCAGTGTTGTCTTTCCAGCTTGTTTGAACTGCCCCAAGTGTCCAAAAGAAACCCAAAACGGTTAATTCTGCTTTAAGGTTCTTTCTGTCTACAATTGTTGTTACAGGCTTCATTTTTCTACCAATTAAGACCAATTCCAAAACCATTCATCTTTAACATAATCAAAAGGCAATTTAATAAGGTAAAATGTTTCCATTTTGTCCAAAAACATTTTTTGTGTTACAACAGTGTTATTGTACTTGTCTATGACTGAGTTTTGTAAATACAGTCATCTTTAGTTAATGGCTGTTTGTCTTCAAAATGAGAGATGTTATTATCTAGTGGAAAAAAATAATCTTTTATATTTACACTACCAGTCAAAGGTTTGGACACACCTTCTCATTTAATGTTTTTTCTTTATTTTCATGACTATTTACATTGTTGATTCTCACTGAAGGCATCATCAAAACTATGAATGAACACATATGGAATTATGTAGTAAACAAAAAAATGTGAAATAACTCTAAATATGTTTCGTATTTTAGATTCCTCAAAGTAGCCACCCTTTGCTTTGTTGACAGCGCTGCAAACCTCTCAATGAGCTTCATGATGTAGTCACCTGAAATGGTTTTCACTTCACAGGTGTGCCTTGTCAGGGTTTATTTGTGGAATTTCTTGCCTTCTTAATGGGGTTGGGACCATCAGTTGTGTAGTGCAGAAGTCAGGTTGGTACACAGCTGACAGCCCTATTTGACAACTGTTAGAATTCACATTATGGCAAGAACCAATCAGCTAAGAGAAACTACAGTCCATCATTACTTTAAGAACTGAAGGTCAGTCAGTCTGGAAAATTGCAAAAACTTTGAGTGTGTCCTCAAGTGCAGTCGCAAAAACCATCAAGCGCTACAACGAAACTGGCTCACATGAGGACCTCCCCAGGAAAGGAAGACCAAGAGTCACCTCTGCTGCTGAGGATAAGTTCATCTGAGTCACCAGCCTCAGAAATCGCAAGTTAACAGCACCTCAGACTAGAGCCCAGATTAATGCCACACAGAGTTCTAGTGGCAGACACATCTCTACATCAACTGTTCAGAGGAGTCTGCGCGAATCAGGCCTTTGTGGTCAAATAGCTGCTAAAAAACACTACTAAGGAAAAGCAACAAGCAGAAGAGATTTGTTTGGGCAATACAAGGAATGGACATTAGACCAGTGGAAATCTGTGCTTTGGTCTGATGAGTCCACATTTGAGATCTTTTGTTCCACCCGCCGTGTCTTTGTGCGAGGCAGAAAAGGCGAACCGATGGTCTCTACATGCATGGTTCCCACCGTGAAGCATGGGGGAGGAGGTGTGATGGTGTGGGGGTGCTTTGCTGGTGACACTGTTTGGGATTTATTCAAAATTGAAGGCACACTGAACCAGCATGGCTACCACAGCATCCTGCAGCATCATGCCATCCCATCCGGTTTGCGTTTAGTTGGACCATCATTTATTTTTCAACAGGACAATGACCCCAAACACACCTCCAGGCCGTGAAAGGGCTATTTGACCAAGAAGGAGAGTGATGGAGTGCTGCGCCAGATCATCTTTCCTCCACAGTCACCTGACCTAAACCCAATCGAGATGGTTTGGGATGAGATGGACCGCAGAGTGAAGGCAAAAGGGCCAACAAGTGCTCAGCATCTCTGGGAACTCCTTCAAGACTGTTGGAAAACCATTAAGGTGACTAC